GAGGATATGCTGGACAAAGGGATGATTCACGACCTGGTCAGGATGGAGTGGGATGGCTCGAGATTTCATCACGCTGCTCAGAACGGTGTGCAATTTAATACTTATAAATTTATTTCTGGAATTTTCCATTTAATATTTTTGGACCACAGTTGTCTGTGGGTACCTGAAACTGGGGAAAGTGAAACCACGAATATGGAGAGACTACTGTACTCATAAGTGTGTTAAACAAATCGATGATTGAGAAAGAAAGATTAATCTTCAAAAAATATAATACAGGAGGAAAGAGAATTAGTATGCTGGATCCTAAAGCTTAAATCATCTATGTGGCCTAATTGTTTTTAAATACCTTGGCCATTCTGATAAAATGTTGTAAAAACGCAATGCCATTAGATCTGAATAGACACCACAGGATGGCTTGTGGTTGATGACTTTTGCTGAAGCCGAATGAGCAACCTGATTATTTTAAACCTGCCTATTGATTGCTTTTGATATAACTGAAAACGAAGCTGCCTTGACTCACTTGTGGTTTGTTTTGAAATGGAAGGTTGGGGATGCATTACCAAAACCACATCCCAGCCTCTCAGCGACTGCAGGTGGCTTTCAACTGAAATATCTGATAGATTATTGGAACTTTTATAGAACCATAATTTCATGATCTTCGAATTACAATTTAGTTTTTCTTTGACCTTTCGTTCCATGATGATAGTTGGCTTAGGTTGCTTAGATTACAAACATTCTGCGTGTTGGGAAACTCAGGGGATACTAAATTTGTAAAATCCCTTCCCCATACTCAAGGATTCTGTCTGTGTATTGAAGGTGAGGCCCAAGAATTCTGCATTTTAAACAGGCAATCTAGGCAATTCTGATGCAAATAGGCCAAAAACCATCCTTTGAGAAAAACTAGATAAGATTGTGGATAAAAGTGAAGTGGCTAAGTTCCAGGGATCTCAATGAAGAAAGAATATTTATATACAAACACTTTTTTTTTTTTTTTGAGGAAGATTAGCCCTGAGCTAACTACTGCCAATCCTCCTCTTTTTGCTGAGGAAGCCTGGCCCTGAGCTAACATCCATGCCCATCTTCCTCTTCTTTACACCTGGGACGCCTACCACAGCATGGCTTTTGCCAAGCAGTGCCATGTTTGCACCCAGGATCTGAACTGGCGAACCCTGGGCTGCCGAAGCAGAACATGAGAACTTAACCGCTGTGCCACTGGGCCTGCTCCATATGAACACTTTAAAATTGCTATATAATTGTAGGATATTGTCTTCATATTCTCAATAATCACGTGTTTTTTCAGGCAGGAGATTACAAACCTGCTTAAAAGCTGAGTAGAACGGGTCTAAGTAAAGCTGAATAACCTGATATTTAATTCCAGTGCTAAATTAGAACTCTGGTTCCTTACTCTATATGGCCCACCAGAAAGTGGGTAAAAAATCTATCACAAAGAGAATAAGTTAATATAAACTTTTTCAGGACATAGTTTTCAGCCTAATTCTGTGGAAGCATGGGCCTTGGGACACATCAGATACTCTTTTTCTTATAATCTGGGAGTAAATCTGTGACTGGGAAACTGGGAACTTTCCTCCTGCTGGCCCCTCAGTTTACCCTCCTTCGAAGTTCTGCATGCTGACGCAAAAACCTGTTTCCATGCCTGCAATCTCAGACATACCTCTGCTTGTCAGGACTCTCCCATGCGTTTTTATTTCCTTTTAAGCACAACGCCTGCATCTGACTGACTCTCAGGGCTCTTCATTGGTGAAATGCATCTGTTCCCAGCTCCCATAACAGTAATAATAGGGCTTTTAGATAGGGCTCCAGGCGAGTGGAGCCCCACTGAAGGAGCCCTCAGTGCTAACAGTCCAACGGACTGTTTCTCTCAAGTATATGCTTATGTCATAAACACTTTGTATTTACCTCTGAAGACTCATGCATGAAAAACTGTGGCTCTCCTTAAAAACAAAACAAAAAATAGCTAGAACTTCATCTTCTGGAAAAAATTTCACTTCTTTAGCCCTCTAGTTTTTTAAAAAAGAATCTCATAATTCGTGTTAAATAGATACCTCTAGATCTATTTACATATAAGTATATGTCTGTATTAATTTACCTCCTTGGGGTCCGGCCCTGTGGCCGAGTGGTTAAGTTTGCAGCCTCTGCTTTGGCAGCCCAGGGTTTCACCGGTTCGGATCCTGGGGGTGGATGTGGCACCGCTCATTGGGCCATGCAGAGGGGGTGTCCCACATGGCGCAACCAGAGGCACTTACAACTGGAATATACAACTATGTACTGGGGGGCTTTGGGGAGAAGAAGAGGAAGGAAAAAAAAAAAAAAGAAGATTGGCAACAGTTGTTAGCTCAGGTGCCAATCTTTAAAAAAAAAAACAACAAAAACCTGACCTCCTTAATGCCAATATTCTCATATCTATCAATAGTTTGTCTCATTGTATGACATTAAATTATGATCGAAACCCTGAATAATTGCATTATCTATGTATTACCTAGAATACCAATCAGATGTATTTTGGTTGATTTATACCTAGGCACCTGAAAGGGACACTTCTCCTGCCAGTAGGTTTGATTTGGACTTGCTTTGTATTCCAAAGCTGTTTCCAGAGTTGATGCAAAAGTTATTAGCGTGTTGGCATGCTCTTTATTCATTGAAGTAGGTGAAGAGTGATGTTTCTGGAATAATAATGGACCTGGCATTGGGACATTCCTCTCTAATGGACACAAGCTAGTCTCATATTTTATCAAGACCCACTTTCAAAGCCTGTGACTTTGCCGCGAGGCTCTGCTCTGCTTCTCTCTGCAGCCCCATGGTGAGCTATTTTTAAGCTGCACATGTTTAATTTTGCAACTTGTGACAATTTGAAAAGCATCACAATGTCTCTTCCCACTGAGACACACATAATTCACCAAGATGCATTGAGAGGAGCAGTATTTGGGGGAAAACTCTTTTGTGGCAAGAGTCTTCTCGAGAATCACTGGGTCCTTTCTTCCTTGAAGGGAAGCCAACCTTCTTCCCTTAATCAGTTGATGGTGTTTATTTTTCCATTTTAAGGAGCAATGAGGGGGATCCAAGTGTATTTAAGACTTGCTTTACTTGGACTTGGACTTCTCAAAAGAGCTTGTCAGAAAAAACATTCTTTCCTTCCGACATTCAATTAGGAGAAATACATCTTGAAATGAGCCTGCACATCCACGTTCCTCTGTAACTTGCTTAACAAGACCAGTGGTTACCTGTGGAATCGTCTCTCATTATGGCACCTTTGGTTCTTACCACATGGTGTGCCACTTTGCCTTTAAGTTAAATTTAGCTGTAACATTACTGCAAAAAATGTTAGTAGCCTCTGTACCACGTGCTAAAGGGACTAAATAGTTTGTTCATCTCGGAAACACTTAAGCCTTCGTGAGCTGTTTTACAATTTACTCACATTTCTCTGTGAATGGCAGTGGCTTTGCTCAAGCATTTCTGAAACATAAGGACTTCTGTTATTTTTGAACATGCAAAGTTGGTTATTGATACTATTGAGGATAATGGTTATATTAATCCAAATTAGCTGCCAATTAAGAGCATTTTTGTTTTTTATTTTCTAATGCTCTGTGACATTTTAGACGTTTTGTATTTATCTTCCTAATTACGTTTTGTGTTTTCCTGAGGATAGCATTGAGTAACAATATTTTCCCTACACATCTCCAGCAATAAGACTATACAGGCAATGGGTTCCCCAACGAAATTGGTGATTTGTCATTGCTTTCCCTAGAGAAAAGATTGGTCAGATTGGTGCTCTGGGTTTCGACATCAAAAATGAGCCTTTAGGGGCCAGCCCTGTGGCTCAGGGGTTAAGTTCTCATGTTCCGCTTCAGCGGCCTGTAGTTCACCGGTTCAGATCCCAGGTGTGGACATGGCACCGCTTGGCAAGCCATGCTGTGGCAGGCGTCCCACATATAAAGAGTAGAGGAAGGTGGACACGGATGTTAGCTCAGGGCCAGTTTTCCTCAGCAGAAAGAGGAAGATTGGCAGTGGATGTTAGCACAGGGCTAGTCTTCCTTAAAAAAAAAAAAAAATGAGCCTTTACAAAGGGCTGATTTCAAGAAAGTTCCCCAACAGAATGATTTGTAGAGTATTGACTGACTGTTCAGAGGCTACAGAAAGATGCATGTACCAAGAAGGTACCCAGATGTGTGCTTTAAATGTCCACATGGCTCACTCTTGCACCTCCTTCAAATCTTTGCTCAAATGTCTCTTCAGTGAGGACTTTTCTGATCACCCCATTTTACTTCTACAACCCTGCCCTCCCCCATCCAGCATATTCAGTTCTCCTCGCCCCATTCTATTGTCTCTTTCCATTATAATATATGCTCCACGAATCATTGGTTTTCTCTGTTTGGTTCACTTGTATATATTCAGAACCTAAAACAGTAGCATACAGTAGGTGCTAAAAAGGTGTTTTTAAAATTTTACTTATTTAATTTTTAAGTAAACTTTTTATTTTGAGATAATCGTAGATTCACATGCAGTTTTAAGAAATGATACAAAGAGATTCCCTGGTAAAGTACTCAGTTTCCCCAATGGTAACAGTTTGTAAAACTTTAGTAGGATATATCTAGGGTATTGACATTGATACAATCAGCATGCAGAACATTCCGTGACCACAAGAATCCATCATTTTGCACTTTTACAGCTACATCCACTTCCCTCTGCCCCTACCCTTTTCTTAATTTTTGGCATTCACTAATCTGTACACTTTTTATAATTTTGTCATTTCAAGAATCTTAGACAGTGGCCGGCCCCGTGGCCCGAGTGGTTACGTTCCTGCGCTCTGCTTCCGCAGCCCAGGGTTTCGCTGGTTGCATCCTGGGTGCAGACGTGGCACCGCTCGTCAAGCCATGCTGAGGCAGCATCCCACATGCCACAAGTAGAAGGACCCACAACTAATAATACACAACTATGTACTGGGGGGTTTTGGGAAGAAAAAAGAAAAATGAAATCTTTAAAAAAAAAGATTCTTAGACAAATGGAATCATGTAGTGTGTAACATTTGAGACTGGCTTTTTCCGCTCAGCATAGTTCCCTTGAGAGTCATCCAAATTGTGTATATTAGTAGTTTATCCCTTTTTATTGCTGTGTAGTATTTCACGTTATGGAGATACCACAGTTTGTTTAACCATTCACCCTTTGAAGGGCATCTGGATTGTTTCCACTTTGGGGCTATTACAAGCAAGAATGCTATAAGCATTTATGTAAAGGTTTTGCCTGGACATATATTTTCATTTCTCTGGGATAAGTGCTTAGGAGTGCAATTGCTGGGTTATATAGTTGTTGTATGCTCAGGAGTTTTAAAAACTGCCAGACTTTTTCAGAGCAGCTATATCATTGTACATGTACACCAGCCATGTAAGAAAGTTCTGGTTTCTCTGCATCCTCACCAGCCTTTGGTCTTACCACTATTTTCTCATGTTAGCCATTTGGATAGATGTTTAATGATGCCTCGTTGTAGTTTTATTTTGCATTTCAATAATGACTAACGATATTGAACATCTCCGCATGTGCTTATTTGCCATCTGTATGACTTTTTTTCAGTGAAATGTCTCTTCATGTCTTTTGTTCATGTTCTAATTGGATTGTGTGCTTTTTACTGTTGAGATATGGAAGTTCTTTATATTCTAGATATTAGTCCTTCTTCAGATATGTAGTTTGCAAACATTTTCTCACACTCTGTAGATTGTCTTTTCATCCTCTTAACAGGGCCTTTGATGAGTGAAAGTTTTTAAATTTGATGACATCCAACTTATCAATTTCTACTTTATAAGTAATACTTTTGTGGTCAAGTCTAAGAAATCTTAGCCCAAGATCTTTAAGATTTTCTCCTATTTTTTTTCTTAAACTTTTATAGTTAGATTTTGATTGGAATTGTGTTAAACCTGTGTATCAATTTGTGGAGAATTGACATCTTTACTGTGTTACATCTTTCGATACATGAACATACCATGTCTCTCCATTTATCTAAATCTTCTTTTGTCTCTTTCATCAGCATTCTTGTAATTTTCGGCATATAAATTTGGTACATGTTTTGTTAGATTTACACCTAAATATTCATTTTTGGGGGCAATTGTAAATGCTATTATATTTTAAATTTCAGTGTCCATATGTTTATTGCTAGTGTAATTGATTTCTTAGTAGTACAATTGAATGTTTAGCTAGTATCCTGTGACCTTGCTGAACTCACTGATTAATTCTAGGAGCTTTTGTAGGTTTCTTGGGATTTTCTACATAGACAATCATGTCTTCCAAAAATAGAATGATTTTCTTGCTTTACAATTTTTGTGTGTTTAATTTCCTTTTCTTAACTTATCATACTGGCTATACTATACCGTACTGTACTTGAGGAAGTTGCCTTCCACTCCTATTCCTTTGAGATTTTTTTTTAGCATGGGTGGTGTTGAAACTGTAGTATGCTTTTTCTGAATCAATTGATATGATTATGTGATTCTTTCTCTTTAGTCTGTGAATATGGTGGATTACTTTGGTTGAGTTTTCAATATTGAGCCAGCCTTACATCCTTAGACTGAACCTCACTTGGCTGTGGAACATAATTCTTTTTATATATAGCTGAATTTTCTTTAATAATGTTTTCTTAAGGATTTTTGAGTCTATATTAATAAGAGATATTTGTCTGCGGTTTGTTTATTGGGTTTTTTGGTATTGTCTTTATCAGTGTAATACTAGAATCATTAAATGAGTTAGGAAATACTACCTCCTTTTTTTCTTGAAGAGATTGTGAAAAATTGGTGTTAATTCATCTTTACACACTTGGTAGAATTCCCCAATGAAACCATGTGGCCTGAAGATTTATTTTTGGGGGAGTCTTTAAATTGTAAATTTAGTTCACTTAACAATTATAGGGCTGTTAAAATCACTTATTTCATGTTTAGTAGATTATTTTAGTTTTCGTTTTTCTTTTCTTTTTCAGAATTGGTCCGTTTCTTCTAAGTTGTCAAATTTATAAACTCTATAGATATTATAGAGTTGTATGTAGAGTTGTATGTAGTATTCTCCTATTATCCTTTGATATCTTCAGATTCTATAGTGATGTCCTCCTTTTAAAAAGATATTTTTAAATGACTAGATTGATTTAAAAATACGTTTTAAATTCTGAGTACATTAAAGATATCTCAATTCTAATGTGTCCAAAGTAGAACTTTTGATTTTTTTAACTCTTGTAACCTACCCATAGTGTTTCTATTTCATCAGCTCATTAAATTAATCCATTTAATTTTTCAAGCTGCAAACAAAATCATCCTTAATTCTTCCCTTCTCTGCATTCCCAACCCTAATAATTCCATTTCAAAATATATCCAGAAACCAGCTAGCTCTTGTTTCCATTCCAGGGCATGCCACCAGCATTTTTTATCTAGACTACTGTGTTGCCCCTCATAGGTGTTCCTTCTTCCACTTTTGCTCTCCTACATTTTATCCTGTACGTAGTAGACAGGTCATATAATTTTCCTGTTCCCTAGAGTGACTTTCCAGCACACGTAGACTAAATCCAAATTCCATACCCTGGCTATAAGGCTCTGCATACTAGAAGGCCCTGGCTGGGAGCCTCCATCTTCCTCCATGGAATCATCTGTAAGTCTCTCCTGGCTGCGTATGCTTCAGCAGCCACACCCTTCTTTCCGTTCCTTGAGGATGCCACGCTCATTCCCAGCTGGGATCTTTGCATGAGCTTTTCAATCAATTTGACATGCACTTTCCCCTAAATATCTCATGGTTGATGGTTGTCTCCTTCCTGTAATTTACATCCCAGCTTAACTGTCTTTTCAAAGAGATGTCTTCCCTGACCACTCAGCCTACTCACTTTCTATTCTATCAACCTGGTTTTAATAGTCTCCATAGCACTTACTCGTATGTGATATTTCCTAATTTTTCTTTGTTAATTTGTTGTTTTCTACACCGAAGTGTAAGCTCCTTGAACACAGAGGCTTTGCATTTCTTCATTACTGCTGTCTCACCAGCACCTAGAACCATGAATGGAACGTTACAACGGCTGGACACATAATTTACATGAATGAATGAAAGTGCTGTGCTTAACGTCATCCATACTGTAGCTTATTTCTTTCTCGAAAGAGTGAACAGAATATTCTCATCCCCATTTTGTAGGTGAGAAAGGCATTAAAATGATTGATCCAACTATAGATCTACAATAGTGTATTTCTTTTGCCTATTTCAAACTTAGGACGCCATCACTCATGGCAAATGTGTGGGAGCAAGAACTTCAAAAAGTGTGTTGCTAACCTTTGTGTGTGAATCTGTTTTTATCTCAGACACTTTAACCTAAAGTTCTGAAAATTCTTGGAAAGCATACTTCATTATCCCAGTCAAATGATTATACCACTGAGTCTGGTGGGAATGTGGGAGAGTTATAGACGAGACTGAGTTACCGCTCAATCTGTGTAAGTCTGATTCCAGGGGTGCTTCTTTCTTTACTGTAAAAGAACATCACTTCATTTGTAGTATTGTTAGGAAATATTAGTTTCAACTAGAATTATTACAACTGTCAGGAAAAAAAAAAAAAGACCTGTCTAGGTATTTAAAATATGGAGGATACACATCCAATATATACTAAATATTGTGGAAATAATATTTGTATTTATACAAAACGAGCGAAAACAAATTAACACCCTGGGAGTATAAATTAGAGTGTGGACAAACCCTAGAAACTGCCCAAGGCACTCAAGAATGAAAAAAAACAAAAAATATACAGCTTCAGAAAAGGCAAGCCTATAGTTTTCTGGCTTTCATAGCAACTGCCTACCTCTATAACACTGTCTTTCACAGCAGAGTCCTTTGTGAAAATTGCAAACTCTCTCAATTGTTCTCACTGTTAACTTAAAATAAGTCAATTGTAGGGAGCTAGCAAGTTGCGTTTTGCCTTTTAGAAATGTGAAGAAACTGAGGCAGTTATTTCTCTTAGGATAATGCAGTGAATTAGTTTTGTACCTTGGTTGCCTGGAGGCAAATTATAGGGGCTTAAGAGCTGTGGTTTCCAGGCTACTGTATTTTAAAAGAGACAATGATTTTTTCCTAATTTCCATATGCCTGAGCCTAAACAGTAGAAAGCACAGCCAAATGTAGGGAACAGCTTATTTTCCACCTCTGTGCCCATGAAGTGGAATATATTTATCTGTGACAAAACAGCATTGCCTCCATTTGGTGGTAAATATTCAACTCTGTTTGTTTAGAATCAGGGTCAATTTTCCCCATTTAGGCGTTCTGAATCTGATTAACACTGTATCAGGGAATTGTCTGGTGTCTGACCTTGAGCAGCATGCTTTCCTCCTTCCCATATTTTGGAGAATCGTTTTGTACAGCCTTGGACCCTGAGATGCCTCTTCAGCAGGCTTGATTGCATTAGCAGTCTCCAAATTATTGGTATCCAAAGGGTTTCAGCCCCAGTGACCTGTCATCTGTCCCCTCACCTGCTTACATGCTGATTCATTGATGAGCTGGCATCGCAGGCCCCGCCTCCGTCTGAATGGTCTGTGAGGTTGCGATTGCTCCTGGAGAGGGATGCTGAGCTGAACCACAGTGGGTTACTACAAGTGTGAACCGGCAGCCTATCTGTTGCCACAGAAGAACTTGGTGACCATACTGAGAAGCAACCCTTTCTCACCGCCCAGTTACTGTTCTGTCTGTATCCGGCTTCTCTAGCTTTTTAGGGGAATTTCTGATTCAGGCACTAACAGCTAATTCCACAGGAGTTGTAAGGCAGCCTGTGACATAAACTGAGACAGAAGTTTCCCCTCAGAGACTGTCTTTTTTTTTTTTATTGGCAAAGACTTCTGGCTCTCCTCAGAGGAATACCTTGTTGCTTAAGATGAGTGGCTGTAGAAAACGGTGTAAACGTGAAATATTGAAATTTGCCCAGTATCTTCTCAGACTATTAACAGGTTCTCTTCATACAGGTAATGACTTTTTTTTTTTAATAGAGGCTGGTAGAGCATGGTAACGAAGTTGAAACGAGTAGGAAAGGCTCACTATTTCTGTGTTGTGTTTATTTTTAATGTTGTCAATAAAATACAATTGTGAGTGCTTGCTGAGGTTCACGTTTCTAAAAATGTATTCAGAGCAGCTCTAATTTTGGGGTAGAACTGGATTCTCTGGATGTGTCTTTTATGTCTTTTTGGCAGTACTGTTGTTAAATGTGCCTCAGTCTAAGGAAGCAGTGTCTGCAGAGTAGAAAGATTTTTTAAAAAATGCATGATTGTGCAAGGGGTTTTTCCCTCTCTCCTGCTTGCTGCAGTTTACTGGAAAATCCCACAGCTGTTCTTCCTGAAGGTATTTAGACATTCTCTAGAACTCTTTGATCATTATAATCCACAGATTATTTCTAGCATTTGATCATAAAGCTTGGCAGTGAAAGAGTTAAGGAGATTTCTTGTGGATTTCTGAATTCCTTGCAAAATGTGAAAACAACAGAACAGTAAAATGTTCAAGAGAGGTTTAATATTTGTTTCCTTGCAGTGGATTTCAATGTTTAAAAATTTGCACGATTGAAATAGAAGCTCTATTTAAATTTAGGTGTTGATAGCAACAAAATATTTTTAATATGTTGTAAAATTATGAGCCGAAACTAGCAGTTTTGCTGCCCATGAAATTCCTAGGCAATGCCATCATTAAGATAGTGACAGGTGGGACCAAAACTACTTTGACTCTGATAATAGATATTTTTAATGGACCATCAAACTTCTGAGAGGCAAAGCTTGGTTGATATAATACTACACTTTGATTCTGGCCGTGAAGAACTGTTGTTAGCTGTATTTTTTCAACTTATATTTGTCTTCTTTAATCTAAATAATGAGAAAGAAGTTAGTTAAGAAACCTATAGACTGTGATGCAAGGTTGAGAGGTGAACTGGAGCAATATTTTCTCTAGGAAGTAAACTCTTTATGGTTAATAACAGAGTTGCAAATATGACTATGTTGACAAGCTGATTAAGATAAACAATTTGCAGAGAATGTGAAAATCACATGATTTCTGAGAACATTATTAAGTACTAATAAATATTGATAGCATTATGATCAGATGCTAATCTGTAAGTAGTACAAATTGTGGTGACTTCTGATGCTTCTAAGAATAATCATTGAGAGTCTGTACCTGACTTTTGTTAACTTGGAGCTCTGTTGTTTTCCACCCTGTCTGTACATTCCTATTACAAATACTTAGTCCCATCAATACAACTTTGCTTTATCATATCAATGTGATCAATAATATCAATATGATATTTGCCTTAAACATTCAGTTAAGGACTGTGTGCCATTTGTGATATCATGTCTCATTGGACAGTGCTCGATGTGTGATCTTTTATCTTGCTATGAAATTAGAGAAATATTTAATGAAGGAACGCTTTCCATGAGGTTCCCATGGTAGTCTGTATTTTTCTCCTTGATATGGAATTTTAAGGTTCTCCTTGTTTCTTATAGTGCTCTGCCTTTTTTGCCCAATCTCTTTGTGTATAGTTTTCTTAAACTTCTGATTTCAAAGAATTTTATGAAGATGGTAAATAGTTGTGAAGTCATAAACCATAAGTATTACATCCAAAATGCAGTGGGTATCTAATGACTGGATGGTAATTTATAATGTAAAATTCATGGATAGCTAGGATAGCAGCAATATTTTAAGCATTATTTAAGGTATATTTAGAAATCAATATAGGTGGAATTCCTTCTCTTCTTTTTAAACCACAGGAGGGAAAAAAATAAGAAGTTTGAGAAATAGGACAGATTGTTATAAAGTAGTAAGGTAGATTTATGACCTGAGAAATGTGATTACAGCAACTTGTTTCTTGTAAAAATTCTTTCCAGCTCGGTTTCTAATATTAAATGTTGTAAAATCCAGCCGGAATCTTTACAACTGCTCAAAATGCAACTTGGAAAAGCCAATTTATGCATTTACTAGATGCTGTGATAATATACACTGTCCATATTGCAGAATCTCATGTAAAATTCATTAGGGCACTTTCAAATCCCTTAGCTAGTAATTAATGAAGAAGTAGGAAGCAGAGTTGAAATAGTTTAAAAAATTTGCTTGAACATTGGATATGCAAGCGGTTGCTAATTGTATCCTGAACAATCAGCATATATGTTTGTAGTTATCAAAAATTTAAAACATGAATATGCCTTGGATGGTTTTTGGTCTTTTCGTATACCAACAAACACTTAGCATCACTTTTTCAATTAAAGATGTGATCTGAGGAAATGATGATTTTCTTTTGCATTTGAAAACAGGCTAATTCTGAAATTCATAATCTGTATTGTTGGCAGTTGCCTTTCATTTGATCCCAAAATGCCCATGCCTTTACACAAACATAAAAAATTTGAAGTGCAAGGAAATTTCCATGGGTACAAACTCTCCTTTGGTATGTCTTACTAGTGTTATTACAAGATAGAGGAAAGCAGTTTCTTTTTCTGAGAGCTTTTCATGTAAGTTTTGTCAGTGTCTAGGGTTACTTATAAATAAATAATTTAATTAATGATTTTTCTAAAATAACCTTTATGTTAGAGAGTGCAAATTCAATGGTAAAGATTTGTGCAGATAAAATAAGATGCTTTCATTGTATCAGAAACTTTTTGCATATTTTTATCGTGGCAAACTGCTTTTCAAAGAGCGGATTTTACAAACACATTTATTTGCTTTATTTATCATGAAAATGTAAGCATTTTTAAAGATCCTTTGTCCTACATAATAAATTCCAGAAATCCATATTCAAACATTAAAGTTAATGGCTACCATGTTCAGTGTAGTGTGGTGCAGTACAGGATCAGTTATTCTAATCCCTTCTCAACTGAGACCTGCATCTTCATGTACCTTATCATATTCAGTTCTAGAAGGGGCTCATGGTAACCAATATATTCTTGTACATCTAAATAATTGGAGATGAGTGATGAAGATTGAAATATGACGGTAGTAATATGAAACTTATTCTATTGATGAGCAGTTTGTGTACCAGAGGAACCTGTAGGGCACCCTGTCATATAAGTGCTGACCCATTAAGAAAGGGTGAATGATATTACAGATATTAAATTTTGGACTATTTCATGTGTGAAATGTAGTATCGGAATGATTTATGGTACATATTTGGAGGTTGTTTGGACAATTATCAATTCTCAGTACATCGTTTTCTTGAAAAATCAAGACCTGAACACATTTTCCTATTAGCAAGTATTCCTCCAACATATGTCTGCGGTGGATGTTGCCTGGAGCTCTGTTTCCGGCTTCAAGGCTGCAAGCTACAGGTGTGGCGAAGTTCAACTCTCTGCCTAAGGGAAACAAAAGCAATTTAAACCAAAACATGAGGTTAAGCAGTGAACTGCTGTTTATCAAATGCCTTAAAGTATTTCAAATTTAATGAAATTATGTTATTAAAAGCATGAAGTAAGCATTTATCATTCCATCGAATAGAGAACTTTAGATTAAAGGAGACAGAGAGAAAGAGATCATGAATTTGTTTCACAAGTTTGCTTTCAGTTTGCTTTTAGCCTTAGCATGTTGAAGTTATTCTGGATCAAGCCACTCACAAGGCTAGTGATATAAAGATTTAGATATTTTTATGTTGTATTTTTAAAGTGTGAAGAGAAAATAAAAGATGACCCTCAGCAAAATCAGGGAATTAACAAAGCTTGTTTCTAGCTACTTGCACTTCCTTTTCTGTCCACTTCTTTTTCCTTCCTGGTTACGAATCACAAGACCACATTTTCAATCCCATCTGACCTCCTCTTCTGTCCCCCATCCCTGCCACATTTGAACACAGGGCAGACAAATCTAATGCAAAGAATGTGTTTCTGAAGACCTCACATAATTAAAAACTCACAAAACTCAAGTTTAGTCCTGGTAAAAGATGACAGTTGTTTCTATTTCCCAGTTCATGTGTCCCTGACATGTGACAATTGAATAAACAGTTTTTATCCATTGGCCTTCCAGCTCTGAAATTATGCTATTCTTGATTAAATTTTTATTTTGTCATTCATTCAAATTTTGCTGATAATGTGAGACTATATTTCTTATAACATTGGGTAAAATGTGCTTTATTGAAATGTACATAAAATAGCACCATGCTATACTCAGTTTTCTTGTGCACTTCCTTCTATTGCAGCCTGCCCTTGGGTAAGAAGAAAGAAAAGAAGGATGATGGTGTTTATACTTGACTGCCAAGAAATATATGTCATTGTGTTGCTTTTCCCCACAGAATTTATATTTTAAACTTTATCAGGAGAATTATTTTGTCCTCAAACATGAGTTTAACTTTTTGATCAGGAGTGAAGGGATATTTTGAGGGATTCAGGATCTTGCCTAATCTCTTCAAATTCTGCCATTGCTGCCAAATCTGGTTAGAGGATCCCTGAGTTGAAGGACATAGGCAGGTTATTGATTGCCACTACATTTCAGAAGGAAATCTGCATGTTAATGTTTAATCACCTTGTATTTTATTACCACATAGTTAGTATATTAGGTAGAATCATAGGACTGAAAGACTCTTCCAAAGAGAAGACTGTTGTTTTGTCATTGTGAGAACTTCAAAGTAGTAGGTGATCTAATCTCACAGCTTCAGACATGTTAAACTCTTGAAACTCATTTGTTGACTGATTGACAAAATTAATCAATATGTTCCATGCCATCTAAAGAGAGATCTAACATTCGTAAAAGGAGCAGCATTTGCCCCTGTTAAGGCAATCAGAGCTTCCTTACCGGAAACTTCAACAATTACACATCAGTGCTTTATTTAAGCACTTGAAGAAATACTGAAGTTTCGTAATACAGGACAAGACTGTCGAGGATATTGTACATTGATTATGATATGTATCAGTTATGTTCCAGGCAGGAAAAGACCTCGCACTCAGGAAAAGAATTTTAAAAAGGGACTATCTATGTGGGCAGGGTGTAAGGAAATCAAGAAGGAGTGATAAAT